AAGTGCACAAGGGTTTTGAAAGGAGGGACAGATTGAATCATCCTGCCGCCGCCACTCTCTTAATATTTATAGGTTATGTTCACTACATGTAGGAAAGGACAGAACTGCCCTTAATACTTACATGGCAAATAAAACAAATAAAAGACTGAAATAAATAACAAACTGAAATAACAAGCTGTCTAAGATAACTACCAACTAACACTGACATGACTAACAAAGGTTACACATGCTGTCATACAAACACAGTGGGGACCACAGCCGTGGGGCCCATATCAGTGTTCTCTACAAAAAACAATTACATGACCTGATTTTAACTTAACTTTTGTATTTTTCCCATGCACAAAATTCATAGTTCCTGCTTATTTGTGAATGGATCAAAATATGTCCTTTTACTTAAAATTCCTGCTTTGCCTTTATTTGACAAAAGGACTAAAATATCCTTCTGCTGCTGTTTACACCAAGCAGCTTTAGATTTGTGGTCATTATAGTATTCCTGTAAATCAAAGTTGCATTTCTTTTTTTTTTTCTGAGTTAGTAAAATATTGTATTTCTTCAGAAAAAAACTTACAGAACAGAAGCCCATGTACATTGAGAGACTGTATGCTGAGGGTATACATCAGTATGTCACATTGTCACCTGTATGAATTGAGCTTAAAACAAATGTATCAGTATAAAAAAAAAAAAATTGTGGGATTACTTGAAATGGTTTGTGTGCTCATCCATGAATACAGAAATCCTTTCAGATTTCTCTTCATCACATCCATCTTGTTCACTTTATTTTCAAAAATACACAAGTTTCTCTCTTTCCAAACCACCTGTGATATTACAGCTGGTGTATCCCACAAAACCTTGCCCCTTCTCAATTCCTGAAACTTCCATCCTTGGAAAAGATTGATAACAGACTCAGGTGGGAATACCTTTGATGCAGCAGTGTGCACTTGGTTAGATCAGTTTGAGCCTCTTTAGAGGCCTAAAAAGAAGTTAACAGATCTGAAGAGAAGGAAGAAATTGTCTGAAAAATACTTTTGGCCTCATTATCATCTTGAGGGAAATTTATGGGAGAACCGGAAAAAACTGAAAGTGGACTTTCTATTTATAGTAATTCTTGTAATTACTATTTATGGTTACTTTTGGACTTTCTATTTATAGTAATTCTTGTAATTACTATTTTTTAGTGAGTTCGCAGTTTATTATTTTTAGTAATTTCTGATGTCTTCAAATTATAGTAGTTTTGGTGGGATTAGGAAGGTGTTATTTAGGACTTGGAATCCTTATTTAAGTGTCCTAATGGGTTTAGTTATGGATTTGTCTTAGAGTTAGAGGCTGTTTGATAACTGCCGAAGTTGCTGAACTGAAAGACTTATTGTTTTGCTTAGTTGATAAAATAATTAAATACTAAAATTTCACAGGTGTAGTGATCTGTCCAACTTCAGTTTCAGACATTAAGGACCCCACAACCTCCTTAAAAACTTAATTCACTAAAAGACAACACAATCTTTTCACTTCAGAATCTTCAGCTGTTATCAAACGCACTCTTAGTTCTAAAGCAATCAGGAGTTTCTTTGGGTCAATTTCCTAGTCCAAATTGGAGTCTGAAAGGGGACATCTGAGTTAGTAAGTTGTGTGTATAAATAGAGTCGTAATTGGAGTTCAAGAAGAGTGATTTGGTAACATAAAGTTTGGTTTAGTGAATTCTGGTTGTTGCCAGAAATTTTTCTCTTTTTTGTCCCCTCTCTCTCACCTGTTTCTTCTTATAAGTGACCTATCTCATTGCTGTTTACCCTAACAGAGAGCATCTTACTTTCTTCTCCATTCATATTCTTCATGTCTAATCACCCACAGCCCTCATTCAACCCCACAAGGCTCAGTACCAGATCCTAAGTTGGTAGGACCCCCTGCCCATCCTACATCACAAAACAAGATAGTGCCAACATCCAAAGTTATTTGGATAAGCTACAATGAATGAACAGATGGTTTGTGCTCAGTCTTAGATAGGACAAAACAGTCAGTTCTCAGATTCATACCTCTCCTGATTAGGATATCAGTTGTCAAACATCTTGCTAATGTATGGTTTCTGTTCAGTTTCAGATAGGACACAACAGTCACTTCTCAGATTCATACCTTTTCTAATTAGGATATCAGTTGTCAAACTTCTTGCTAATGTAGCTGTTCAAGCAAGAAAATCCACCTTCGATGGAATATAGTTGATCCACATTTTAGGCTGGGCAACAGATTCTTCTGATTATGACTGATTTTGTTGTAAAACAACTGCAGTGAGAACCAGCCCAACTTGTTGCAAGCCTAAAATATTACACTTGAACTCTCTGGATGAAACTTTTTTTTTTTATGTTTCCACTCAAGTAGGCTAGCTATTGGTTCAATTTCCCAGTCATTAAGATTTCTTGAGTTGAAGGCTCTAAACCTCCCATTCTCATGCTGTTCATAGCAATCCATTACCAATGCTTCCTCTTTCTGAGCTACCTCAATGACCTCATACAGAGATGAAAATGTCAAGGATGAATTCCTGCACCATTTTTTGTCCAGAATGTCACCCTATTATCCTCCCAATCTTGTATATGCCTTCTGTGTGTTCAGAGAATGCTTTTTCAGTGCTCTACCACACTGCACATCTCGTGGGACTTGTTGCTGCCCAGGATCCCAACACCTACTACTTAACCTGTATTTTCCTGCAATGCCGTGTCTCCACAGCCCTTCCATGTCTTCCTTGAATCTCCAGAACCATTTTCCTGAAAGAGCATTATTCATTACCCTTAGCTTCCTTAGCCTCAATTCCACAAACTTTTGGGAGATGCATATTCATTTTTATAGAGGGTGGGTCTTGGCGCGATAGCTTCTGTGTGTGCAGGGGTAAGGCTGCGTATATCTGTCCCTCCCCAGACCCCGCATTGGTGGGAGCCTTGTGCACTGGGCTGCCCTAGTGCCCCTTATATTCATTTTTATGGTCAATATAAACTTTAATTTGTTATAATAAGAATATTGGAAGAGAGTAAGTGCAAAGCCCCAGAACCATAAAATGGGTAGCAGGGGTAGATTATACCACATTTGGGGTTCCCCTATACATAAAATACAAGTTATCCCAAGCTTAGCAGTGAAGTATCCCAAAATGAGTAAGTTATTTTTTTTTATCAGTAAGCATGTATTTTATTTAAATTCCTGATGGGAATGATGATCCCATTTAATCACTCTTTTCTGTCCCTCATTACAATGTAGCCCAAAATAATTGCTGTCTCAATGCCCCTTGTTTTGCTAGATGATCAGCTAACCCATTTGCACTCCTTCGGACCAATTTAAATTCAGCCTCAACCTCCTTTGCAATCTTTTCCACTTCCCTAATCTCATGTTTAAACGTCCACAGGGTATGGCTACTGTTTTCCGCCCAGGAAATGACCACTTTTGAATCCCCTTCCACCTCAATATGCCTGTATCCCATCTATTTAGCTAGCTTCAAACCTTGTAGTAATGCCAAAAGTTTAGCCTTCAGTGAATTCCCAGTGCCAATTGGTCCTGAGAACATAACCAGTATCCTCTTTTCAGAATTTCTGATTACTCCACCTATACCTGATAGTCCCAGATTTCCAAGGGAGCTCCCATCAAAATTCAGTTTCACTTTATTGCCTTCTGGTGGTTTCCGCTCCAGCCTTACTTTGTCTCTCACTCTCGAGGACTGTGGTACTTCAGACCAGGTTCTTAGAATGTCTGTGACTGAGAAGACTTGAAAGCTGTCCAAGGATTTTACCCAATGAGCTTCTTTCACCTTGATGCTGTCAATCACTTCCAAGTTATTATTACCTTTCTATGGTTATTGAATCAGCTTAGTATCTATAGATTATCATCAAGCCTAGATGAAAGGGAGGTTTGACCTGGAACTGGATGCCCTCGGAACCCTTAATGAAGTTAAGATAGCTTAGCTCTCAATGAGTTGCCCAAACTACTGGCCTCAAATAAAGAAGGATAATTTTACCATTGCTTTTCCTATAGCCCCACTGATGCTGCAAGATCTGCTGTTGCCTACACTACAGAGCATTAGTCAAAATTTAGTATTTTAGTTTGACTATTTTTTCTTTATTTTCCTTTTTTGCCTTTTTGTTTGTGTATATGTATGTGTGTTTCCTTTTGGGAGGGGGAGAAGGATGCCATAACTGTATCACTTTTCTTTAAAATGGCGAGCCCACATATTGACTATTGCTATGAAGGCGACCCCATATAGTTGGAATAAGACATGGATGATGATGATGGTGGCCTCCCAACCATAAGATGATATCTGGTTATTGAACCAATAGGAAATAGAAATGGATATGTATATCAGTTGCTTTGCTGGTGATCACGGTTTAAAGTATCAATACACCCAGACGTGTTGGCAGGGGTGTACGTTTTACCCCACGCTTTTTATTTTTTTATTTTTATTTTTTCAAAATTTCATTTTTACACATTTTTATATTGTTTAATCAATAAACATATTGGTTTCCTGAAAACACCTTTAAATAGGTGTATCGGAAACCCAAAGATATGATACAATATGCCTGATCAGGGGCATCATATCATATCGATGCTTTGAACCTTGCCGTTGATCCATGATTGTTCCATGTATTGTGAACACTGATATCATCATCATCATCAACTATTACAAGTTCTGAAGGAAAATAGGATAATTTTACTTCATGTGGTATTAATCATCATACAGAAGATGGTATAGTCTCGTTTGTATAGTCTGTATGCACATGTGAACATGCACAGAGTGATGAAAATTGTTGGAAGCACATTTTACAAATGTTTATTAGGTTCTTCTGTCTGTTTGCAGGTTGTTCCCACTGTATACACTGACATAAATGGGCATGCTATCCAGTCAAATCAGGTATAGATAAACATACTGAGACTCCCTCTTTCTGATTGTTCAATGTCATTTATTTAACCATGATCTGAGGTGCACTAGTATGGGCATTGTGCAGTTCTCTGTAACAGAGCATTATAGGGATGCAGAATTTACATATCCTCAGTTTCTTCCTGGTGTTTTCTTCTTTTATGACCTTTCTCCAATCAAGGCGAGTCTTTTGTATGAATATATTTAGCCTGACTTATAAATCTGATTATGTTCCTTATGATTTTTATGACTCTTCAGGTAAGTAACTGATGGTATTTGTTCATATTGAGTTTATAGATAATTAGTTTTATCCATTTATATTAGTAAACAAAATCTCCTCCCAACCCCCAAAAATTCAATTGTTCTTTTCTTTTCATACTCTACTCCCGGACATGAAGCTGAAAATCTGATCTGATAATGTTCAAGTACATTATGCACACCTGTAATACCTCGATACCTATACAAGGGTGTTGTATCATGTCAGATGCTTTATTTTTTAGTTTAAATTTTGTATCTGGTACTGCTATATCCAGGTAACATAGATGCACACCTGTGGGAAAATGTAGAGGAAAGATGGTGATGGTTTCTCCATTATTTTCTTTTGAAGCAGGTTAGACATGTTTATCTTTATAGACACACAATCCCTGCCTTCCAAATAAAAAAAACATACATTAGCAAATGATCACTAGCCACTTGGCCCAATATCTCTACACTCCCCTCAAGTTGAGCATAGATGTCAATCAAGCCCAAATTGCTTACATAATGTTGTAACATTTCCTTAGGAATTCCCTTGGTCAAAGCATCCACTAATTGCTCTTCTGAAGCAATGAATAGTAGGCAAACTTCTCCTTATGCTATTCTCTCATGTATAAAATGTCTGTCTACCTCAATGTGCTTTATTCTGTCATGTTGAATCGGATTATGAGCAATGTTGATGGCGGATTGATTATCATAATATGACATTAAGCCACAACTCTGAAACTCCATGATCCATAGCCTTGTATTCTACCTCAATTGAGGATCTAGCTACCATAGACTGTTTCTTACTTCTCCAAGAGACAATATTCCTTGCCACCATAGCACAGTAGCCATAAGTAGACCTTCTGTCATCTAGACAACCAGCCCAATTAGCATCTATTATAAGCTTCCAACTTCATATCTCCATGCTTAGCAAATAGGATGCCTTTTCCCAGAGTTCCCTTTAAGTGATATAGAACCCTTTCTGCAACAACCATATTTATGTTTCTGGGGACCATGCATAAATTGGCTGATTATACTCAACATATAAAATGTCAAGTCGTATCATACAAAGATACAATAGTTTCCCCAGAAGTCTTTGAAATACTCCCCTGTCAATTAAAAGTTCACCATCATTGGCTAAAAGTTTATTATTCAGATTAATAGGGGTCGAGGTAGGTTTAGCACCAAGTTTTCCAGTTTTAGTAAGATGATCTGGGTACCTTTCAATAGTACCATCAACATGGTACTTAATGGTGTAAACCCATTTGCACCCAATTGAATCCTTCCCCTCAGGTAGGTTTACAATATCCTAGGTATTGTTTTCTTGAAGTGCCTTTGTTTTAGCTCTCATAGCATCCCTCCATTATGGTTTGGATAAGGCATCTAATACCAATTTAGGTATAGGTGGAAAGGAAATGGAGGCTAAGAAAGAATAGTAGGAAGGGGAAAGTAAGCTGTAAGAAAGGTGCTTTGAGGTACAATGAGTAGTGCAATTTCTCTTGCCTTCTTTTTGATTAGTAATAATGAAATTTATTAATTCAATATAGATTTATTGTCTCATGCAACAACCCTTGGAGAAGTGCAAGCTGCAGCCTCTCCTAACAGATTGCAAAGAAACTAGGAAAAGAGTACAGAAATATCAATTGAGCCCAGAACAAATCTTCCCTATTTTGTTTTTCCCCTTGCTTGGCTAACACATCAGCCAAAGCATTTGATGATCTCCCCATGCACTGAACAGAAACCGACATATTCCTTGGCTGGTTCTTATAGCACCAAACAACATCCTTAGGGTTCTTCAACCAGCCCACCACCACCTTGGAGTCCCCTTCAATAATTAGTTGTTGTACCCCCAATTGGTTTGCAAATTGCACCCCTTGTATAGCAGCTAGTGATTTTGTCCTAATAGAATCTTTAAATCCCAAAGGACCTAAGTACAAAAGAGCATCCTCTCCAATTTCTTCAACCAGTATATTGCCCTAGCCAACACACAATCCTTCAATTCCTAACTGCTCCTTTCCTTCTCTTGAAAGATTCTAGCATTCCTTTCCACATTAATCTTCCTCTTTTTGTAGGCCAATTGAAAGTAAAATGGTCAAAGATCAAGTGTACTTCTACCGGCAAGCTCCAACCAAACAAAGAGAGTAGCTTAGCCCATGACTCTGCAGAGAACGGACAAGATATGGATAGATGGTAACAATCCTCCCATGAGTTCTACAAAGGGTACACCAGTTCAGAGAAAAATAAAGGAAGGGACTTTTCTTTTGTAAGTTATCTAAAGTGTTTATTTCTCATAGTACACTTCCCAACAAAGTCATAATCTTTGGGGGAATTGGATTGCACCAAATTTCATTTGAGGGAAAAACCTGTTGAATAGAAGACTGAGACATGGACTTAAAGAAAGAGGCACAAGTAAAAGTCCCTTTGGGCCTAGGAGCCCACACCCTTTGGTTTGGCTTGAAAGGATCCAAACAAACCTGATTAAGGAGGCAAAAAAAAAAAAAAATAGATAAAGAGTCAATTTCAGCATCCCTTAACCCCCTATGAAACCCAAAATCCCAATTTGAAGCCAAGGGTGTTCTTGAGGGTGAGACAAATTTTGAGACCTCTTTTTTATACAACAAAACGGAGAACAAGGGGAAAGGGTCCTTTAAAGTGGTGTTTCCCACCCAAGTATCCTCCCAAAATTGGAGAAAGTTACTAGAACAAACTTCGTACCTAACAAACCTGAGAAACTGAGGAAGAGTGTTGTGGATGGCCCTCCAAGGTGTTGCCAGATTAGCCCGCCTTGATACACTTGTGCCCCATCCATTCTCTAAGATACCATGAATGCTCCCCACCACTTCATGCCAAAGCCTCTCGTTCTCTAACGACCAATGCTAAAGCCATTTCCCCAACAATGCTAGATTTTATGGAACCACCCTCCCTTTCCCCAAACCCCTCCCCTCTTTGCTTCTACACACAATTTCCCACTTAATCAAATGATCCTTTTTTCCTTGTCTTGGTTCCCAAAGGAAGTATTTCATTAACTTCTACAACTTTCTAGCTTCCCTAGGTGGTATCCTAAAGATAAACAAAAAGTAAGTGGGTTAGTTCGCCAATGTAGCTCTTATTAAAGTGATCCAATTGCCTGAAGAAATGTAATTCCTTTTTCCATGAAGCTAATCTCTTCTCAAACTTTTCTAGCACTAGAGTCCAAAACCTACTCTCCCTGGGATTTGCTCCTAATGGAAGCCCTAAATAGGGCAAAGGCCAAGATGAAATGGAGCACTGAAGACACTCGGCAATAGCCTCAACCTCTCTATCCTCCAAATTAATACCCACCATGTGACTCTTTTCCAAATTTATTTTTAGATTAGAGATTCTTTCAAAACCTTTGATTAACTCTTCCAAGTTTGCTACATTCTCACTAATACCCCTTTGCAAAAAATCATCAAATCATCTACAAACTGAAGATGGGTGACTGGGATCTAGGTCCTCCCTACTCTCCAATCCCTAATGATATCTTCCCTATTGGCCTTAGCAATGATTCTACTAAACACATTAGCTACTAAAGTAAAGAGGAACAGGGAGAGTGGATCCCCTTGTCTGATACCCCTGAATGCTAGAAAGAAATCCTTCACCACACCATTTACCAAGATAGAGTAATGAAAGGTATTAACACACCTAAATATCCATCTACACCATCTCTCCCCAAATCCACAATTTCTCAACACCTCTGATAATAACTACCAATCTACACATTCATAGGCCTTTTCAAGGTCCAATTTGCAAAAAAAACTTTTTTGCCTAGGTCTTTTTATCTCCTTTCACACATCCATTTGCAATTAGGATATGGTCTATTATTTGTTGTCCTTGAGTGAAAGCCCCTTGATTTTGGCTGATGATAGAAGGAAGAACTTTAAGCCTCAGAAAAAGCACTTTAGCTAGGATTTTATAGATACTTGTCATCAAACTAATAGCCCTAAAATCTTTTGGGTGGTTAGCATCGGTCTTCTTAGGGATTAGAGCCAAGAACTTGGCATTGACTCTAGGGTTACTATGTAATTGTTTGCAAATTCCTTAAAGGCATCACACAAATCATCTTTTAGCACCTCCCAACAGTTTTAATAAAAAAGCCATTGTAAAACCATCTTCCACAACTGCTCTCTCATTCAAAGGCTTTTTGAAGATTGACTTAAAATGATCCACGAACTTCCTAGCTATATCATCCTAGTTGATAATCACCTCCTCATCCTCTAGTTTGGTTACAAAATTCTTCCTCCTTCCATTGGCTAGGTCATGAAAGAAGTGGGTGTTCCCATCACCTTCCTTAATCCACTTGTGTCTAGATTTCTGCCTCCAACTAATGATAGGTAGGTTAAGGTTTGGAAAGGTGGGCATTGGAGAAGGGGATGTAGGACTTGTTATCGCTTCAGTAACTAGGAGTGCAGGAGTCCAATTGAAGACCGGGGAACAACCTGCTCATGCTTGGACCTTTGCCTTTGGTTCCACCTTTGAAGAACCGGAGTAGGGAAAACTAGAGGACCTAGAGGGGGAACAATGCTAAATAGGAGGGACAAAAGAGGCATGATCAAACTCAATAAAGGATTGCAAGGGGAGGGGTAAATCAAACATTTCAACTAAGTGCTCCCCCTCAGAAGGATGATTGTAGAAAGGAGCTGACTCTACAAAAGTGACATCCATGGAAATAAAGTGGGTGCCATTGACAAGATCAAAACAACAATAGCTCTTCTGTGTGGAGCCATAACCAAGAAAGATACACTTTTTTTTAGAAAAGGTGAAGTATTTCATTAAAAGAAGAAAAACATAATTACAAAGATTTGCACAGGAAGACATTGAGTAGGAAATAGAGAAAACTTTATGTCTCATAACCTTCTTGGCTGTTTGGCATCACTCCGCGGGAGCGATTCTGTCGATTCTGGTATTCTTGGGATGAGAATC